ATAAGAGGAAAATGTTTGCCTTCTATTCAAAAGAGTCTTCAAAATCTTCCGTTTTGAACTTTACGATATAAGGATATAAGGGAAAAAGGGAAACCATTGCACAATGGTCGCAAATCCAGTTTTTCTGTTTAAAACTATATCAACGTCATATCTAAATCCTAGAAACCAACAGTGACCTCAATATCAAATTTCAAAACTAAATCTCTAACCCTTCATTCAACGGCAAATTTAGTACAATTGACAACTTTTTAAACAACTATAGTACCCATTTCCCAACCCACCTCCAAATTTCAGTTCCAGATGTCAACAGTGACCTTTATATCACATTTAAGGATTCCAGCCTACCCCTTAACCCAATACTAAATTTAGTACTATTTCGTAAACATATGGTACATAGTACTTTTCTTAAACATATAGTACATATTTAAAACACCACCTCCATATTTCAATTCTAGATATCAACAAAGATGTCAATATCAAATTTGAGGACTCCAGCACTAACCCTTCGCCCAATACCAAATTTAGTACCGTTTGGTACTTTTCGTGCAATTATGTTACAGACTTCCAAAACTATCTCAATTTCAGATACCAACTGATACTTCAATATCAAATTTCGAGATTCCAGCTGTATCCCTTCACTCAATACCAAATTTAGTACTATTCAGTACTTATTGTACAATTTTAATACATACTTCCAAAACTTCTACCACATCTCAATTTCACATACCAACAGAGACCTTAATATCAAATTTGAGGAATTCTATCTTATCCCTTCACCCAATACCAAATTTAGTACCACTTAGTACTTTTGGTATGTACAATACAGGACAAATTTTCAAAGCACCACCATATCTCAATCCTAGATACCTACGGAGATTCCACTAACAATATTTGGGATTCCAGCTTTATCCTATCAATATTTGGGATTCCAGCTTTAATTTTCAATCAATCATATCTTAATTTTAGATACCAACAGAAGCCTTAATATCATATTTGAGGATCCCAGCTCTATCACTTCAACCAATACCCCCATTTAGTACTTTTCGTACAATTATAGTACACATTTTCAAAACCTCCTCCATATCATAACCACAGACACTAACAGTGGCATCTTTATCAAATTGCAGGATTTCAGCTCTATTTTTCACCCAATACCAACATTTCGTACCATGCGATACTTTTCGTACAATTATAGCACACATTTCCAAAACCACCCCCAACAGAGGCCACAATATGAAGTTTCAATATTTCTTCTCTACCCCTTCACCCAATACCATATTTAGTACCGTTAAGTACTTTTCGTACAAATATAGGAAGCATTCCCAAAACACCGCCAAATCTCAAACAAAGATACCATCAGCAATCTAAATATCAAATTTCAGAATCGTATCTCTATCCCTATTCTCTCCATACCAAATATAGTACCATGTAGTACTACACATGAGCAGCTACCCTTTTACAAAATTTAAGATATCAAACGCTACATGTTCAACCAGTACCTAATTGTACAACATGTAGTGCTATTTGGTACTTTTCGTGCACTTGCAGCACACATTTTCAAAACCACCTCTTTATCATAAACCAAACGCCGACAGGGACCCCAATACCAAAATTTCAAATTACCAGCTTATCTGTTCATCCAAAACGGAATTGCACCAAATTTAGTACAGTTAGTACACTTATTACACATTTCCAAACACCACCTCCTTATATCAAGTCCATTTCCAAAAGTTGATTCGGAAACCAAATTTCAACAAAGTACCGCTATCCATTCACGTAATTCCAAATTGTACCAATTTTAGTGCATTTTAATACTTTTGGTACACATTTTGTTAGAATTTCGAAAAACCCTTTAGTTTGTCTATCCCTCACAACATCGAAGACTCTCACTCCAAATTTCAAATTTCCAGCTCTAAAGTAATTTTTAGTACATATTTCCGAATTATCCGCCTTGTATCAATCAAACCGTACAAAATATGATCCTAATGCCAAATTTTAGTTCTCCAACCCAATCCCTTACCCAAATATCAAATTTAGTACTTTTTAGGACGTATTTCCAAAACCAAATCCAAATCTCAGCCCTACAGAAATTTCAGATTTTAAGCAGGATCCGTTCAAGCAACACCAAATTCAGTGACATTTAGTATTTTTGGTACGCTTGCTGACTCTATCCTAAACCTACCCACTAGCAGAGACAGTTGTTATACATTTTCTTTCATATATCAAATTACTTCACCAAATACCGTACGAAACGAAATTTATTTAATTTAGTGCTTCTAGTCCGAATTTTCAAAAATCAACCTTTCTCACCTACATTGACTTACATGCAAAATTTCAAGATTCTAACTTTAGCTGTTTCGCCCGGGGGTTTATGAATCAGTCATTCAATCACTCATTTTTATACCCTCCACCAAAAAAGGTATGGAGAGTATAATAAGTTCGTCATTCCGTTTGTAACTCATCGAAATAATCATTTTAGACCCAACAAAGTATATATATTCTTGATCAGTGTAAAATTCTAAGACGATTTAGCCCTGTCCGTCCGTCTGTCCGTCTGTTGTAATCACGCTACAGTCTAAACGAATTAAGATAGGAAGCTAAAATTTTGCACAGATCTCTCTTTTGTCTGCAGGCAGGGCAACTTCGAAGATGGGCTATATCGGTCCACGATATTGTATAGCCCCCATATAACGGTACCCCCGATATTCGGTATTTTGGTGATTTTTTAATGGAATTGTCTTAAAATCCACACAAGTGGTTCCTTGCGAGTAATTTACCCCCTGAGAGAGAATTGTCTATACAGGTCCACGATATCGTACATCCCCCATATAACGGTACCTCCCGATATTCGGTATTTTGATGATTTTACCCACATTTTTCAACGGAATTGTTTGAAAATCCACACAGGGAGTTCCTTGTGGGTACTTAATACCTCGGCAGAGAATTGTCCATACAGGTCCACGATATCGTATAGCCCCCATGTAACGGTACCCCCCGATATTCGGTATTTTGATGATTTTACCCACATTTTTTAACGGAATTGTCTGAAAATCCACACAAAGAGTTCCTTGTGGGTACTTTATACCTCGGCAGAGAATTATTTATATAGGTCCACAATATCGTATAGCCCCCATATAACGGTACCTCCCGATATTCGGTATTTTGATTATTGTATCCACATTTTTCAATGGAATTGTCTGAAATTCCACAAAAGGAGTCCCTTGTGGGCATTTTACCTCCTCAAAAAGAATTGTCTATATAGGTCCACGATATCGTATATCCCCCATATAACTGTAACCCCCGATATTCGGTATTTTGATGATGTCAGCCACGCTTTTCAATGGAATTGGCTTAAATTCAACACAAGTAGTTCCTTGTGAGTACTTCACCCCCTGAGAGAGAATTGTCTATACAGGTCTACGATATCGTATATCCCCCATATAACGGTACCTCCCGATATTCGGTATTTTATGATTTGACCCACATTTTCCAATCGTATTGTCTGAAAATCCACACACGGAGTTCTTTGTGAGCACTTTACCCCTGAAACGGAATTGTCTATATAGCTCCACAATATCGTATATCCCCCATATAACGGTACTCCCCTATATTCGGTATTTTGATGATTTTGGCCACTTTTTCCAATGGAATTATCTGAAAATCCATACATGGAGTTCCTTGTGAGTACTTTAAACGCAGACATAGATTTGTCTTTATAGATCCACAATATCGTATATCCCCCCATATATCGGCACCTTCCTATATTAGATATTTTAAAGATTTTAAAATAATTTTTATTGGATTTTATTTTTTTGAAAATATTCTGATTCGTTCCAAATGGTGGAGGGTATTCAAAGTTCGGCCCGGCCGAACTTACTGCTTTTTTACTTGTTTACTTTTTATACCCTCAGCCGTATAGTTAGAGAGAGGATATATATCATTTGATACGGCCAAAACGTGCCTCATTGAAATAACGGTTTTAGACCCTGGGTCTCTTTGGAACAAATCCGTTTCAGAACATCAGTCAGTCAGTCTGTCTGGCTGGTTCGCACGATAACTCTCGAAAGGAGTATCCGATTTGATCTAAACTTGGTACATCGTAATATTGTTGTTAAACTTAGATCGACTATGGATATGAGCAATATCGGTCCACTTCTGGTACCTCCCACACAAAATGTCAAAACTTTGAAAGAAAATAATTTACTGCACAGAAAGAGGAAGGATACTACAATTTTGCTCCAACGTTGCGAACCCTTATATTGCGAAAGTTTACAATATCCGTCCACTCCATCAAGTACCTCCCCCATAAAGGGTCAACATTTTGAATAATTGTAACTCTTATAAAATCTGATGTAAGTGTCCGATTATCTTCAAATTACACACATCACAATATTTTTATTAACCGAAGGTCTGGTGTGAAGATCAAATATAACAGTCCACTCCTTCTGGAACCTCCCCTACGAAGGGTCAACATTTTGAATATTCATTAAGATCATAAAATACGAACTTAACATTCCGATACCATTCAGATTTGGCACATTTCAATATTTCCATAAACACAAGATCTGTTACAAATATGGTTCAAGATCGGATCAGTGTGCAAGTATTTGGGATTAGTAAGCAGTTGGCGATGAAGTTACAGCAGCCATGGCTGCAGCTCTTCTCACCAACGATTTGGTTGGCTCAATGGTCGGTCGGTTGGTCGTTCGGTTGCTAACATTCAACGAAACACAATATAAGACAAAAAGGTCTCAGCATAATCATCATCTTATACACGGCAGTGGCTGTAGTATGCGACGATTTGGTGGCACTGTTTTGTGCCAAGATGTGTTTTATTTTGAGCGAAGCATTTTTGTAGATGATTGTTGTGGAAAATGTTCGTGTCGGTTGGTTTTTTTGTCTTTCTTGAATTTTTTTCTTCACCAAAGGTTCACAACAACTTATAAATGCCAGTGTCGTGAAACAATTGAAACAAGTCGATATTCGAATGTGGTACCAGCAACTTGTGTCTCTCTCTCTGCATCTCCGCATCTGGTGGATAATCTCGTTGTGAATCCGTTAAATTCAAACATCGAAAAAAAAAAAAAAAAACGAACAAACTCAAATACGATATAAAACATACTTTGCCAGGATTAAAAGTATGGTTTTATAGAAAAATAAAAAAGTGAAGCGAACGAAAACTCAAACGGGATTAGAAACAAAATCGAAAACGAAAATGTTATGTGAAATTTCAAAAATCAAAATATTCCACTGAAGAAAGAAAAGCGGAAAAACACTTGACGCAACACCAGTCGCAAAGTGTCGCAAAACTAGTCTTCCGACAATTGCAAGGCAGCAAAATTTTGAAAAAAAAAAACTATTTTTTTGGCGACAATAACATTAACAAAATGAAAATATTAATTTTAATTTGTTTTGTGTGTGGTAAGTGAATTCAGTGGACCATAAATTCGAAAAAAAAACAAAGCCCCTTTTTGGATGTCTTGAGTATTTGTAATCGCTTTGTAAATGCAACTTTTATTTAATACCTGAATGAAATTTTGATGTAATTCTATGGCGTTAACATTTAATGAATGGAGTGTTAATTTAAAAGAGATTTTCCTCTTAATTATGTTACAATAAATGTGTGAAACGTTTTGAAAGTGTAGGAAAATTGATGATTTTGGGCGATTTAATGTGAGATGATGTGAATGATTATAGCAACGGAAAACTATGACGGCTATGCATTTTATCAACAATAATTACCCAAGACTTATATTATTCTAAAGCATAAAACCCACTCAGATTTAACCTACGAATCGAAATTTAGACAATGACAAAAAATTTTAAAAATGTTATGTTAACAATTTGTAAGGTATCAGCCTCTGGCCGTTTACATAAGTAGAGTCTTGAATTAAAAACGGCCATTCGGAGTATTCTATTACAAATCTTACTGGACTAAAAATAATAATTATGTACCATTGTTCTCAAATTTTAAGGGAGGCATCAAACATATGATTTGTGCCCGTTAAATTGTACAACATTTTTACGATTAAAGAAGAGGAAACAAGTAAAAAATCAGTAAGTTCGGCCGGGCCGAACTTTGAATACCCTCCCCCATTGAAACGAATTAGAAAATTTTCAAAAAATAAAATCCATTAAAAATTCTGTTAAAATCTTTAAAATATCTAATATCGGAAGGTGCCGATATATGGGGGGATATACGATATTGTGGACCTATATAGACAATTACCTTTCCGGGGTTAAAGTGCTCACAAACAACTCCTTGTGTGGATTTTCAGACAATACCATAGGAAAATATTGCTAAAATTATCAAAATACCGAATATCGGGGGTACCGTTATATGGGGGTCTAACGATATCGTAGACCTATATAGATAATTCTCTTCCAAGGGATAAAGTACTCACAATGAACTCCTCGTGTGGAATTTCAGACAATTCCGTTGAAAAATGTGGCTGAAAGCATCAATATACCAAATATCAGGGGGTACCGTTATATGGGGGCTATACGATATCGTGGACCTATATAGACAATTCTATTTCAAGGGATAAAGTACCCACAAGGAACTCCTTGTGTGGATTATCAGACAATTCCATTGAAAAATGTGGCTAAAATCATCAAAATACCGAATATCGGAGGGTACCGTTATATGGGGGCTATACGATATTGTGGACCGATATAGCCCATCTTCGAACTTGACCTGCCTGCAGACAAAAGAGGGATCTGTGCAAAATTTTAGCTTCATATCTTAATTTGTTTAGACTGTAGCGTGATTACAACAGACGAACAGACGGGCAGACGGACGGACATGGCTAAATCGTCTTAGAATTTTACGCTGATCAAGAATATATATACTTTGTTGGGTCTAAAATGATTATTTCGTTGAGTTACAAACGGAATGACGAACTTAATATACCCTCCATACAATGTATGGTGGAGGGTATAAAAAGAGAATTTGGACACTGCTTTCGACTTGTATGGGATTTGTGTTATTATACCCTTCACCATAAAATGGAGGGTATATTAAATGTTAAAAAGGATGGGTGTAAAATCTTTTTATAAAAACAGAAACAAGATTCCTCTCAAACTCGGCACAATCGGATGCTCATTTCTCGTTTCATGACTCGTTGTGGGGGAGGTAGCAGAAAGAGTGAACCGATATATATTCCATCTTCATACCAGATCTTGTGTTTGTATAAATATTAAGAGAAGAGAATCGAACAGTTATTTCACATTTTATAACAGTTATAATTATTCCATATGTCGTGGGGAAGGTACCAGAAGGAGTCTACCGACATTGTTCATATCCGCACTATACCTGGACCTGATAAAAATATTATGATTTGCAATGTTTGCACGAAATCGGATGATCTTTTCTTTTTCTATACGGCGAATTATTTACTGTTTCACATTTTGTGTGGGAGGTACCAGAAGGATTGGACCGATGTTACCCATGTCCGAACTAGATCTAATTTTGACAATAATATTACAATGTACCAAGTTTGAACCAAATCGGATGCTCTATTCAAAAGTTATCGTGCGCACCAGACAGCCAGACAGACGAACGGACGGACATTCCTAGATCGACTTCAAATGTCCTGAAACGAATTTGGACCAAAGTGAATTAGGGTCTAAAACCATTATTATTTTGCCAAAAAAAACGCGAAAATTTTCATTGTTGATCAATTTTTTTAAGTTTTTGCTAAATAGGAACTCAAAATATTAAGTTTTTTAAATTTAATGAAAACAAGTTAAAATGTATCAGTCGGTTTTGACGACAGATGCATACCCCCAGCCAATGTTCTATTATTTAAATATATTTTAACTTCTATTATGATTATTCAAATTGTTGAACCTCTACGGAGTAGACTCCGAATGGGCCAATATTGTCCATTTCGTATCGGACCTAAATAAATATGATATAAATATTGCGACGTGCCAGGATTGGACTATATCGACTACTTCTTTTACTTTATTTGAGATAGATGATAATTTTTAGAAAACGGTTAAAATGTGCGTGAGGTGCCAGATGTAGTCGATCGTAGTATTTCATTTTCATACTGCATATAATACAGATAAAAATATTGGTATGGACAAAATTGCAAGAAAATCGAATATTTATATTCAATTTTATGCGATTCCATATTCATCTCAGGTTTCTGGTTAATAGAAATATTTAGATAAAGCAAGTTGTAAAGAATCACTGACTTGTTTCGCAAGTTATGACAGATAAATGTATTGGAAATTGTGAGCCTTTAGGGGTGAGGAACCAGAAGGGATTCGCAGGAATTCTGGGTTTGTAACCCCTAAGCGAGTCACCAATGGATTTTTCCCCTTTTTTAAAAAAATCTGGTCTAAAAATAACTTTAAACCACCTGATAGCAACGCGAAATATTCTAATTTATAAAAGAATAGTGAAATAGCTAACCGACTGATCGAAATGAGCTAGAATTCTAAAATGTGGAATGAGATTCACAGATAGAGTGCAGGATAGAAATTCTAACTTTAATGTTGCGGAAAGTTCTAAATTGGTAACATTTCGAATTATGTGAACGGACAGAGCTAAAAATTTTGAAATTTCGTGCAAGAATCAAGTTGGAAAGTAAGCTTGATATATGAAGAAGGTTTTAAAAAGGTGTACAAAGTGTGCGAACTGTACTAAATGGTATGTAAATTTGGTTTAGGGTGAAATGATGAAGCTATGATTTTGAAATTTTGTATTGGGGTCCCTGTTGGTAGAAGGTTTGTGTTAGGATGTGGCTTTGGAAATGTGTCCTACATGTGCACCAAAAATACTAAATATACTATATTTGGTACAATTTGGTATTGGACGGACAGATAGTTTTTGAAATCAGGAATTTAATGCTACGATCGCTGTTCATATGTAGCCCGGACATATGGAGGTTGTTTCGGAAATATGTACTATAATTGTACGTACGAAAAGTATAATAATAAATTAAGGATTGAGTCTTAGAAAAAGGCAGGAACTCTGAAATTTGATAAGGTATATCATTTTGAGAGAAGGGGATGGATTTGGGACTGCAACAATGATTGTTCGAAAAGTATTAAATTGGGTAATAGGTAAAAGGACAGAGCTGGAATCTCCAAATTTGATACTGAGGCCTCTGTTGGTATGGGGAATTGAGTTAAGGCGGAGGATTGGAAATGTGTACTATAATTGTACGAAAATTACTGAATTTTAAAAAATTTGGTATTGGGTCAAAGTATATTGCTGGAGTCCTTAAATTTGACGTCTTTGTCATATCTGAAATTGAAATATGGAGGTGGTGTTTCAAATATGTACTATATGTGTACGAAAAGTACTAAATGGTACTTAATGGAGAACTTACTATACCCTCCATACTATGTATGGTGGAGGGTATTAAAAAGATAGTATTTTATATAGGACTATCCAACACACATTTCATCGCACATAAATACATTTGCAGTGGTGTATAACTTGCCGTGTGGAAAAATATTTGTACATTTGCATAGGCTAACAAATGTGTAAATATAACTCAAAATATAATTACAAAAACAACTTAAATTACATGATTATTACAAGTGTCCAAATAGGCTATCATCCAATTAAATAGAGGATTTCGAGCAATAATCCCCAAAATAATTTATTTTGGTTTTAAACAATGAACAAATCTCCCAATTTAGCATTTTTATTATACGTTTCTCTCTCCCTCTTTCTCTCTCTCACTGCAGGCATGTTAAATGTCTACGCCATAGAAACGACAAATAAAGCCAGTAAAATAACGACAACAAAACAAATTACCGATGACACAACAGCAGACGTTGCTGCACCAGCAACTGTTGCCAAAGAATCGGCAACAAATGAATCTACCAAAGATAAGAGACAAACAAAAGACACTAAAGATGGCTATGCAAATCACCGAACGGATGGCATTACAAGCAGCGGTGGTAGTGGTGGCAGTAGCAGCAACAGTCGCTCCAGTACAAATTCCGATGATCCAGAAGATCCACAAGAGACCATTTATGGTACAGATGGTAGACAATTTTTAATACGACCACAGTCACAGCACCAGCAACAACAACAACAACAGCTGCAGAGCGACGAGGAGCAACAACAGGAGCAGCAGCAGCATCAACAGCATCAGCCACGACATCAATTGAGAAATTACCCGGTAACCATACGGCCACATAGTTCACAGCTACTGGAACAAAGTCAAGAGGTGAGTAGAGAATCACAAAAACAAAACGAAACAAAGCAGAAGACCACATTTTGTGGGATAGTTGGGCTGGCTATCCAAGTCGTGCTATGAATTGTTAAAACCACTCTTGATCGTTTAATCGATTGAGCGATCATAGAAAAACAGGCAAACCTGCCTATGGACATTTAAGTTAAAATATCGAAAGGTTAATGAGTTAATTGTGGTATAAAAAAACATAAACAGTAGGTTTTTATACCAAAATTGATGGAAAATGCTATTTGATATCTGAATAAGCAGCATCATGCTTATAAAGTAAACATGTCAAAATTTTATACGAGATGCTAAACAAATCAGTATTCTTGTAGATTTTTGTAAATAATAACGGATAAAACAATCCCATAGATCTGTGGAGGATTTTTTTATTTTGTATAGGGTAATAAGAGATAAATTAATGCTCTTCATAGTGTGCAGTAGATTTTAATGCACCTAATGGTGTACATAGGCGTATTTTGTACTTTTTTAGTGGTAGAGGTAGCAAAACAGTAAACTGTCAAAAATTGCAGTCACAGAAAAATGTTCGAGAAAATCTTGTCAACAACAAGAATGCATCTGTTTATACCCTAGTCATGTGGCTAGAGGTTGAAATAAAAAACTGCAACAAAGTCAAACGTCATAATGTTTACATTTGTTTTTTTTAATTTTAATTGAATGAAAACAAAAAATGTCGGAAATGACTTCAAATTTTATAAGTTTAGATTTGTTCGAATTGGTCACCTTTGGAATTATGGCCTTCAAACGGCCGATGAAACCATCACACGCTACCCGAATGTTACTCTGCAGTATTTTGGTCCATTCCCGGCGAAGCGCTTGCCTGAGGCGATCGACACTTTGGTATTTTTTAGTGCCTACCTTGCTTTTTCAAAATACTTCAGACACAATAGTCCATCGGATTGGTATCCGGAGATTTTGTTGGCCATTGTGCGCTGGAAATGAAGCGAGTAACCTCATTTTGTAACCATTCTTGGGTAGCGCGCGCTGAGTGCATTGGTGCTGAGTCCTGTTGGAATGTTCAAGGTCTGCATGCCCATGTTTGCGTGCCCAAGGCTTTAATACACCCTCCAGAATATTTTCGCGATAAAATTCGGTATTTATTTTGATGCCACGGTCGATTAATACGAGCGGAGAGGAACACCTGCTGTTATGGCGGCGCACACCATCACCATGGCCGGCGCTTAAGTCCTGGTGGCCAACCGAAGGTGCACATTTTCAGCTGACCACTTTGGCAAGTAAACACGATCATTTTGTTTGTTTACAAACTGCTGGACAGCGAATGTTTTCTTATCGGAGAAAAACAAATTCGGCAGTTCACCACTTTCGGTCAAGCGAAGCAACTCTTTAGCTCTTTTGAGTCTATTTTCTTTCTGTTGCGGTGTAAGCTCTTGCTCTTTTTGAAATTTAAATGGCTTTACCCCGATTTTGCTCCAACTTTGCAAATCCTAATATTTGCATCAGTGTTAGGTCAGGTGTGGAAATGGACAATATTGAACCACTCCATCAAGTACCTCACCCACAAAAGGTCGAAATTTTGAATAATTATAATTCTCATAAAATGTAATGTAAGAGTCCGATTGTCTTCAAATTACACACATAACAATATTTTTATTAATCTGAGGTGTGGAAATGGAATATATCGGTCCACTCCTTTTGGTACCTCCCCCACAAAGGGTCAACATTTTGAATAACCATAAAGTTTATAAAACACGAAATTAACATACGCACATCTCAATATTTCTATCAACACAAGATCCGTTATAAAGATATTGGAGATCGGACAATTTCTTCTGGTACCTCCCCCACAAAGGGTCAAAGTTTTAAATATCCATGAAGCTTATAAAACGCTGAATTAACTTTCGATTAGACATGACACATCTCAATACTTCCATCAACACAAAATCTGTTATAAAGATGGTAAAGATCGGACCATTTCCTCTGGTACCTCCCCCACATAGGGTTCAAGATTAAAAAAAAAAAAAAAACAAAAAAATAAAACGCTCAAAGAAAGCGAAATAAGTATTCAAGTCTCTTAAAATTTCACACAAATTCAAATTCGTCTGTGCGGAGTTTTAGACTTCCGTAGCAGACATAATAAATCCTATGTATTTAAACTATCAATGTCATTACGTATACGTCAAATCTTGAATCCAGTTGATTTCATTTGACGTATACGCAATGGAATTGACAGTTTTGTGTAAGAGGGGTTTTATATCTAAACTACTTTACCTATCAGAATCAAAGCTTAACATCAGTATAAAATGTTTGTAGCTTATAGTAGCTTGTATGTATTCTGTAACTTTTTATCATTTATAATTATGTACATTGTTATATTTTGCTGCCGATAAAGTGAACCCCCTTTGTTCTGTGTTCATATTTGTACTTCACAAAACTGAATTAACTTCATTGAATTAACTTCATTGTTTTCGCCGTTTAACATTTGACATATTAGCTACAATGACTACAAACCTCCCATTTGTAAACTGCACGGCAGTTGGGTTCATAGTTCGTTAGGTGCAACTCCAGTTGCCAAAAAAATATATATACATATATATTGAACAAATATCCAATTCCGCTATCCATTATGTCTGGCTTCATTATGTTATGATGGTTATTGTTACTGTTACTGTTGTTGTTTTGTTTTTTTTTTGTTGTTATGTTATAACATCCCAAGGTAGTACCAGAGAAAGGAATCAGACAATAGATGAAATGTTGTAGGTAATTTGTTCATGAGGTCTCAGTCGTGACTTGTTTCTCATGCACGATTCTATGTAGAAGAATTTGGTAACATTTGAATAGCTGAAGGCTTCTTCTTGGTCATTGCTTGTTTTTTTTTTTTTTGTTTTTTGTTTCGAATGTAACTTGTTTGTCCATAGAAAATTGTGTTTTTGAGGATTGTTATTTTTTCTATACAAAAATCAGTATAAAAATAAATTTACAAATGGGTAGGTCTGATAATCTAATATTTTGTGATATTTTATACAAAATGTTGTCTGATAACTCAAAACTCTAATAAATGAGAGCAAGTAAAAAGAGAAATTTCGATAGTTTATTTACTGAGAGTTTGCAAACATTTGCTTAGTAAAATGTGTCCAGTAACATCAGCTGATTGAAAGCCAACTGCAGTGTGGCCGGTACAGAAATGTTTACAAATTTCAGGCAAAAATTTAATTATTTTAATCATTTTTCAGATAAAAGCAATCAACATTGTACTAGACCTTAAAATATATTTTTTTCACAGCAAAAATTGTAATTTTGACTCAATTAAAAACTTAATTAATGTTTGTCAAAGTTCGACCGGAACGAGCTTCTACTACTCTCCACTATTTGGAAGGAACTTGAAATTTTTCAAAAAAAAAAAGTAAAATAGTATCAGTCGGTTTTGCCGACAGATGTAAACCCCCAGCCTTGAGTTATGATTATTTAAACAGTTGACCCTTTATGGGTGAGATTCCGAAGCAGTTGGCCTTCTCGTATCTGACCTAAGACTGGTATAAAAATTACAACGTGCCAGATTTGGACTGTATCGGCCACTTCCTATACTTTATATGAGGTACCACATATAGCGGACCGAAGTATTTCTTTTTTTTTACTTCGCCTATGCAGATAAAATTATTGGTATCACATCGCATTTCATGAGAGTTATAATAATTCAAATTTGTTAACCTTTGTGGGGGAGGCACCGGATGTGGTGGACCGATATTATCCATTTTTGCACTTGACCTAGATGTGACCCGAATTTGCAAAGTTTGAGCAAAATCGGGTTATCGTTTCTCTTTCTGTGGAAAAAAAAACATTTTTTTTTGAAAATTTAGACTTTTTGTGGTTGAGGTACCACAAGGAGCGGACCGATGTATTCTATATTGGCAACAGACCTTGGGTTAATAAAATTATTGGGAGGTGTGAAATTTGTAGACAATCGGACACTTACATCACATTTTATAAGAGTTGTAATTTTTCAAAATCTTGATCCTGTGTAGGGGAGGTACTTGATGGAGTGGACCTATATTGTCCATTTTGGCACCTGACCTAGCACTAACACAAATATTACGATTTGAAAAGTTGAAGCAAAATCGGATTATCGTTTCTCTTTGTGTGCAAAAAAATATTTTTTGAAAATTTCGACTTTTTGTGAGGGAGGTACCAGAAGGAGTGGACCTATGTATTCCATATTGGCAACAGACCTTGGGTAAATAAAATTATTGGGATGTGTGAAATTTAAAGGCAATCGGACTCTTACATCACATTTTATAAAAGTTGTAATTATTCAAAATGTTGACCCTTTATGTGAGAAGTACTTGATGGAGTGGATCGATATTGTCCATTTTCGCACCTGACCTAGCACTGATACAAATATTACGATTTCAAAATATTACGGATGATAATCTGATTTCTCTTTCTGTACAAGAAATATTTTTTGAAAATTTCGACCCTTTGTGTGGGAGGTACCAGAAGGAGCGGACCGATACATGCCATCTTAACACCAGACCTTGGGTTGATTAAAATATTGGTATATGTGAAATTTGAAGACAATCGGACTCTTACATCACATTTTATAAGAGTTGTACTTATTCAAAATTTCGAGGGGGAGGTATTTGATGAAGTTGACCGATATTGCCCATTTTCGCACCCGATGTAGGACTGATGCAAATATTAAAATTTACAAAGTTGGAGCAAAATCGGATTATCGAGTATCTTTTTGTGTAGAAAATATATTTTTTGAAAATTTCGAACTTTTGTGGGGCGGGTAAGACAAGGAGTAGACCGATATTGTCCATCCATGAACTCGATTTATGTTTGACAAAAATATTAGGATGTACCAAGTTTGGACCAAATCGGATACTCCCTTTGAGAGTTATCGTGCGCACCAGCCAGACAGACAGATTGACGGACATCGCCAGATTGACTCCAAATGCCCTAAAACGGATTTGGTCCAAAAAGACCGTATCAAATGATCATATACCCTCCCT